CCTCCTGCGCCCCGCCTCCTGCGCCCCGCCTCCTGCGCCCCGCCTCCTGCGCCCCGCCCCGCCATCTCTGCAACCTGATCCCCGCCACCCCGAGGAGCCGGCCCCGACCGGCTGGCTCCGCTTCCGCGGCCGGCTGGGGTTTGGTGGTGATGCAGGTCCCTCCCCAGCCTGGGGCCTAGGCGAGACCCTCTGCTTCCGCTCAACCTCCCCTCTGGGGATCGCGGTCGCCTGTGACCTTTTTCCTGTTCCCTCCCAGGCTGTGAGCCCCAGACCCAGGCCAATAGCTATAGCATTCATCCCTGTGTCTCTGGGCCCAGCACCAAGCAGGGGGCCCAGGCAAGTGGGTCTTTGTCCCCAAAGGGAGGAGGCCCACTGGACTCATTATGCTTGCATGGATGGGTGCAATGGGGACCAGCGCACAGGGAGCCCCCGTGCTGCCTTGGGTCTGCCTCTAGGACAGGGTCCCTCAGCCTTGAACCACTGACATTGGGCCCGGATCCTTCTTTGCGCTGGGTGTCATCCTATGCATTGCAGGATGCTGAGCAGCATCCCTGGCCTCCCATCTACTAGATACTCAGTAGCAACACCATCCCCCTAGGTGAGACAACCAAAAATATCCCCAGATACTGCCCAGTGTCCCCTGGGGGCAAACTGTCTTGGGTTGAGAAAACACTGCTCTGGGGTATTACAGGGAACGCGAAGCCTGCTGCACACAGGGCGCTGGGTCCAAAGCCGGAGGCTTCTGCTAGCCAGGACTCTGTAATGCTGTTCCCAGATCCGCTTCTCCACGCTGGTTTACAGACGCCTCCGGCCAGCCTAGGGACTGTGACCTTTAGCCTGACAACATTTGGGCAGCATGTGACCAACCAGCTCCTCTCACTGTGCAAACAGCTTCCGGGCTCCTGCCTTGATGTGGGTGCTGAGCGGAGTCCTGGGACAGAGAAACTTTTTCTGTCCCTGGCAGTCAGTGTCGTTGTGTTAGAGGTTAATTGGACCCTTAGGTAGTCAGGGTCAGGGTCCCCAACAAGAAAGCAAAAAACCGGGACAGCTAAGACAAAACCGCACTAGCATCCTGTTTTACAGCTTAGACAGGACCACAATGGCATCCTGTCTAGTGGCCTCTGCAGGAGTCACTTCTGCAAAACATCCTGAAACAAAACAATGAACCATAAAACACGGGTCACTATCACAAGCTGAGGCAGTTAGTCTCCAGATGTCAGCCCCAAAGACCAGCAACATGTGAACAATAACCCGTTACGTAGACAGGTGCATGATCAAAGCCCTTTCAGCCCCAACGAGCAGCAACATGTGAACAATAACCCGTTAGGTAGACAGGTGCATGATCAAAGCCCTGATTGGCACACCTTAGCGGTAAATCCACAGGGGCCCACACTCAGGATGCTCAAGATAGTTCCTCAAAAGAGCTTATAAATTTGAACACCAAAACGGCAACCCTCTCGGGTCCCCTCCCTCCCCGGGAGCTTTGTACTCTTGCTCAATAAACTTTGCTTTGCTGCCCAACACTCTTCCTCTGGTCTACCTCTTCATTCTTCGAAGCAGCAGACAAAGAACATGGGGAAATAAGGGAACAAAAATCCTGTAATAGTCGGTACCCGAAAGAGACCGGAGGTGTCTAATCCCATATTTAGGATCCAATCCCATACTTAAAGGGGAAGGTTTTAACAGTGGCCCCTCCCCTTGGATATTCATATTTACCTGTATTTGCACAAAGAGTCAAAAGACACCATAACAGGTTAAAGTGGAGGTGTTTGTGTGGGGGTGTCCCTGGAGCCAGGCAGATGAGGGTCAGGAAGACTTTTTACTGGTTCTTTCTCCCTCTCTCCTTCCTCTTACTCTTTACTTCTCCATGAAAATCAATTATATATATATATATATATATAAAATTCATCTGAAAAAAGAAAAGGAACCCCAAGGTGAGCTCACCCTGTAGCAGCTCCCCCCGCAACCTATCAGTGTTACCACTGCCCTCCCTTCACGAAGGCCAGACCCCAGCAGTGCTTGGCCACACCTCTCACTCCACACCCTCCAAGAAAGATAGGCAGCTTTCACCCTGCCAGTTTTTTTCCAGTGCATTCTGCCCTTGAGAGGACTTCGGAGGAGGCTGAAGATGGAGGCCGGGGGAAGACAGAGTGTGTTCTTTGCATGTAGGTACATGGGACCCCCAAAGTCCATTGCCCACCCCAACCTAGCTAAATAACTGCAATTTTGAGAAGACCGCGTTAAATTTGCAGTCACAGACCATGCAGGCGCATCAACACCGCTTGTAGAGTTTATGTGTGTTGCTCATGGTTAGAAAGCGTGGTGTGTCCCTCAGGGCAGAGAATACAGCGGGGATTGACATCTGACCCATTCATTCATTTGCTCATCGGTTCTTCATCAATATTCATTAAAAGCTG